CCCTACGATGGGGCTTGGTTGAGAACTGGTTATTGGTGCCACATATGGCAGGAAATATTACTATTGGACCCATATGTGAGGAAGAAGTTCTCAAGGTCACTTATGAATGCTACACTTAGGTGAAATTTGCGTGGAGCGAGTTTCTGCATCTTTATAACACAAACTAGGGAAAGCATCTAGTGTTAAATATTTCGGTCATCAGAAAAGAGTACAAATTCACAATACTCCAGACATTTCTGGGTTTCATCCAATCCGAAACTTCAAGCCCCATTTGCCTGACAGAGTTACCAGGGGAAAAGACTATCTGTCTTTGCTTACAAACTTTGATGGACTTTAGGAGTTCTTGATCTAAGTGACTCCATATTGGAGTTCTATCACTATAAGCATAACATTAAAATATACCTAAAACACAAGTTTACAATGACCACAAGTGCCATGTCTATCAGAACACTGACAAGGTTCAATAATTGCACTGAGTTTTCAATCCTTTTTTTTTTTCCTTCTAGGAACTATAAACCATGGGTAAATTTCCCTCAAATGAAAAAGCAGGACACAGTTTGCAGAAAATGATCTAGGGATTAACAAATAAAAAACAAGTCTAGCAACAAGAAGTGTTTTTAATTTACTATCACTGTAATGCAGACTATATTTGAGGTGATGATTTATGCAAATAATTCCTCCTCTGAGTAATGAGACTGCTCCTTTTGACAATTTAGAGACTGGGATTAAATATAATCCTTTCCATCTTCATTATTATCCCCAATCCTTTTACTTTGCTTTCTTTCCTTCCCTTTCCTTTCTTAACCCTCTGATAGTTGTGAAATTCTAGGAGGGGACATAGTGATTGGGCCTGGTTTGGGAATTGCCTTTAGGAGGTCATTACAATGAGGTCAGTTAACATGGCATTGAGCTGTCTTCTAAGATATCTCCTACCTGAGGTGTGTAAAATGCATAATATGTCTAATTCTTTCTATATTTCTTAGGTACCCAGCAGGTGAAGTTTTTCTAAGACCTGGGCATGGGGAATCTATGATGACTGTTTCCCTCACTCTTATTTAATTATTTTCCATTTTCCATGGCAGAATATTACAGGTCCTAGTAGTCTTCCCTCACAGTTCTCCTTCTCAGTCCTTCTTCTAATTATCTTTGGTTATTTTCTTCATTTTTGCCAGAATTTCTTCATCTTGTCTTTGTTCTGATCATACATCTACTCTGGGGATGCAGAAAGTACTGCAACAATTACATGAATGAAGCATATCATAAAAGTTCTAATTATTAGGGTTTTCCTTTTTTAAAAGTCAAAAAAAATTGTTATAGATCAATTTTCTGTGTACGTTGGGAAAAACCCGAGTCATTTCAAATGAGGTGATTTAAGTATCATGTTTTCCAAGACCTTGGTGAAAGGCAAGAGAGCAGTTTATCCAATTTGCAGATGTCACAGGGCTAGGAAGGTTTGATAAAACATGGCATGAGAAGCTCAGGCTGTGACACAATCTTGGAAAGCCGAAGGATGGCACTGAATTAAGTAAAGAGAAATTTAACAGTGAGAAACGCACTCTTCATTCTGCCTTCAAAATCAGCAACATAAGAACACCAGGACTGAGGTGTGGTTATGATCAGAAGAATGATTTGAGGCCTGTAGTGAAGTATTAAGTGATCTAAAGAGAGGAATGGTCTTCTATTATAAAGAATGTGATGGTCTCTCAGTACAAGACTCCAGTTAGACAACATTTGGTTTATTATGTTACTTTCAGGGCACAACATTGTAAAAAAGATTGCAAAAAATTGGAGAAGAAGTAGAAAAGGACGTGAAGTATGGCAAAGAGCCTTAAGGCACATATCACCTGAAAATCATTTAGAATAAATCAGAGTGGTTTAAAAAAGAAAAGGAAATACGATAACTGTTACCATGGACAAAAGCCAATTGGTTTGGAAGATTCTTTTTTTATACTTGGCTTAGTTCTCCAGGTCATAACTAAGAGAGATGGTTAAACAAATTTAGGGTATATAGAAAGAAACAATTCCTAATAATTCAAGTTATACAAATCTGGAATGGCTCACCCTTCAATATTGGGGGGGGGGTTCCTCAATGGAGGTTTTACATAAAAAGGGAGAAGACCCCAGATCATATATTTGGTACAGATAACTTTTGTGGGGCATATGATTTGGGTCTTCACAGAGCTGCCAGAACAACATTTGAAAACACTGGGATGTGTGCCCATATCACTGCTCTGCACTAGGTCCAAAGAAGATCATTAGGTATTCTTTGTCTGCAGGAGAAAATAAGAGCTCGTTTGTTGAGTTCCAGTAGGCTTTCAGTTTCTGACCCAGGCCTCATCTCCTTGTGTAGACTTATTGCACACCATTCCACTTCAATTAATCCACATTGAATCCAACCTGATTTACTTGCTGCACCTCATATGTGAAATCACACAGCTTTTTATGATGTCTTTGCTTATGAAATTACCCATGTTTGGATGATAATTTCACATGTACTTGGACATTCAATTCTTTTGCTTCATTTAAAGTTGATCTTGAGTTCCACTTGCTATAAGAAACCTAACCTGAGCTTTCCAGTTACTGTAACAAAATCCCACCAATTTCATTGTATTTATTTTTATATACATATTTTATATTTTTTGTGTATATGTCTGTGTGGTTTCTTGTCTATCAGATGTAAGGTAGAAATACACAGGCTGTTTAAATTTTTAAGTTTTAATGCCTAGCACTTAGAACAATCATTAGCACATAAAAAGTTACATGTATATATATATACATTCTCACACATATATATGTAAATATATGTATTTGTATGTGGATGAATCCCAATTCCAGATTACTCTCAGTAACTACTTCTTTAAATACTACTCAAGTACTATTAAAGATGTAAGAAAGTCATAAAGCATTGTAGATCAGATCCATTACAACTTTATATTACATCATCTCAATTGGGCTCTCACTACTGCAAGGTAATCCATGTACTGCTTCCCAAGTGACTGCTTATTCTACTTTCCACAGCAGCTATTCAAAATTTTTATTTGCATTTGCAAACTTCCAATATCACCTCATTATCCACATTCTCAGGTGAGGACATTGCCTTAAAATATATTGACGAAACAGAAGCTATTAGTCCCCTCTCTTTTCTTTATCATTTTCTTTGTCCATTATCTCATCATTTACTTTAGTTTCTGATTAAAATGTGTATCCAATTATTTGCACTCATAATTTCTACCAACCTCCAATCTTTTATACTTGTGCCCCCTTTCTCCTCACTCAATGACTTCCCAACAAGAATTGGTCATCTCTTCTGTGGAGCATTGAAATGGCCCACTACTGTCTGGCTTGCCTCACATCTCTTCTGACATTTGGTAATCCACACCGATGTCCATGGTACAGCCCTTGGTATGACACATCCTCTTTTGTTAAATTTGAATCATTTTTGGTATCTCTAAGAACAAATGTACACTTCACAAACGATTAAGATCTTCATACCTTGGTCCCCACCTAAATATCTATAGTTATTAGACTTCATCAGCTTTCATGACCTTTTTAAAATAGCCAAAGTGATAACACTATTTTTCATATTCCATACTACATGTCTCATTTCCATGCTTTTGTGAATGCTCTCCCCATTCTAGGAATGCAATCTTTCCTCACCTCCGTGTCTCACAATTCCTATTTTCATTTAAATTTCAACTCATTTAAGATGAAGTCTTTTCTGTTTCCAGTAAGCTATTAGGGACTTCCTCCAAATCACATTTTGTCACCTTTGTCTATAATTTAACATACTGATTACTATGTGGACATGTCTTCTCTGCTGGCAAGAATGCTTATTTTTTGTTTGAGGACAGTTTTTTTTTTCACTTTTGTCTCTACATCCCCATAACTTGCAAATGCCTGAACCCTAGTAGGGACCTCATAAATGCTTATAAGGTGATTGAAATCAGTTGTTAATCATTTCATTCTCTGGTTTATGCCTTTCAGTTTATCATATTGTGAATTTGAGATCATTTATGTAACTTCTTTTTTTCATTCTCTTTCTCCTGTCTACAGCCTTTGAAACTGCTGACTGCTCTCACCTCCCTCTAGGTTTTAGAGACCAGGTTTCCCCTATTCTTCTTTTACTTTTCTTGCTGCTCCTTCTCTGTTTCCTTCGATGGATCCTCTTCACGTCACACTGACTAACTCTAGGTGTCCCTAAGGAATCTGTCTTTGCTGCTTAGCATGGTACTTTGCACACAGCAGATACTTACTAACTGTTGATTGATTCATTCCCTGGTTCTCAGGTATCCAGCTTCCAAGACAGAAGCAGTTTCCTTAGTCAGGGTGAATAAATTTTCTCTGAAATTCTAAATTTTTGTATTCTTCCTGCTTAACTCAGGTAGTTATTTCAGCAAGACGGAAATGAGTACTTCACCTAGAATCCTTCAATATTACCCTTCACATTTGCATAAAAATCCTACTTTTGAAATACATGTATTCCATTTTCATTCCAATATATAAACTTGAAAATCAATACAATGCTTCTAGAAACTATGCCATCAGGATATTTGTCTATTCCTAGGTAATATGTTTTCATGGCCAAGGGGAGCATTAAAAATATCTCAAATTGCAAGTTCAGAATCAGAGGCTTTTTTCCTATGTTTGCACAAGATAGAAATTCAGACTTCTTGGTATGTTCAGTTGCATTTCAAGATTAGACATATTCTAATGTCTAAAGTATATCATTGCGTGTGTGTGTGTGTGTGTGTGTGTGTGTGTGTGTGTGTGTTTTGAAAGGATGTTAGGAGATGTTTAGTCTAAGTTACTCATTTTACAGATGTCGAAATTGACGCTTATAGGCCTTTTTTCTCAGGGCCTTACTGTTAGTAAGTGTTATGGACAAGATTTTAGACAAGAATTCCTGACTCCATATCCAACCCTCCATCTACTCTGACACTTTGCTGTTTCTGTGCATGTAGAGTTCTGTCTGGTTCTTCACATTTTTCCTCTCATGTTAGGTCAATGCTCAAACATTACCAACATTTGCTGGCTTTCCAATTTGCTGTGGATGAGATCAACAAGAACCCCCATTTGCTACCCAACATAACACTGGGATACCAGTTGGTCAGTAACTTCCAGAACAACAAGCTAGCTGTGGAGAGCTCCTTGATATGGCTGTCAGGGAGGGGTCCAACCATCCCTAACTACAGCTGTGACAGGCAGTCAAATTCAGTGGCAGTCATTGGAGGGATGTCATCTACACTGTCCATGTCTGTGGCCACCATTCTCAAACTTTATAAAGTTCCACAGGTAAGGGAGCCCAATATTGTCACTCATTTTCATGCAATGCATTCTTTGTATTTAAAACAGCAAATCCTTTATAATCTGTTCTGGTACAGGGTTGGTGAGTCAATAAAACCAAAATATCAACAAGTTAGGCACTGTTCTGACAATAGCAGGTACAAATAAGGAGGAAACATTCCTTTCCCCCAGGGAACTTACTCTGTCCTCTAGATGAGGTGGTGCTATGTTGGTTTAACTCTGATGATTTTGAACCAGGTAAAAATCTGCCAAATTAAAAGTAACTATATGAGGGCAGCTAGGTGGCCCAATGGACAGAGCACCAGCTCTGGACTCAGGAGCACCAGAGTTCAAATCTGGCCTCAGACACAAAACACTCACTGGCTGTGTCGTGCTGGGTAAGTCGCTTAACCACGTTGCCAAGCAAAAAGAAAAAGTCACTACACTCCTAGTTCATTTATTTTTTATAGTTGAATAGCACTTTGAAGACTTTAGATGGAAGAAAGATTTCTCTTTTCCTCACTTCAGAAAATTCCCAGGGAAAGTGCTCATTTCTTTTTCACTTTAAAGTTGATTTGTATATGTTCCCTAAAAGGATGAATCTCTAGTACTTTTCTTCAGCAGTCTGTGCTAAGAAGCAGCTTTCAATTCTGTGTTTACAGTGATCTTCCAATTTCAGCTAAGAATTGGTCTCTTTCCTGAATCCGGGCCTGATTTTCCAAGTGTATGATGTATCCCTTCAGAACACAAATAGTTTATATATTCAATTCAAGTTATTTCTAAGAAATAACTTTTTATGAAATGCCTAATGTGTGTTTTCTAACTGCATACTCTCAGAATACTATGATGAACCAGATACAGTCTCCGTGTGATCCAACTTAGGAGGCCACAGGACAATGTCAGAGAAATCAGAGTAGGTTAAAGGCAAAGTCAAGATCTCAGTTTCCTGTGTAGCAATCAATCCTTCCCTGAGCAGAGAGGATAAATAAATGCATCACAGAAGTAGAAAATTGTGTATTTCATCAAATTGCTTATAGCAAATTTATTGATATTTCTATGCCAAAAGTAACTTATGCTATCACTGTTTTTCTTCCTTATCCTTTAGAATTCTCACAATTTGGAAATTTTCAAAGATCACAGTGATCCATATTTATAGCTTTCCCCCATAATATCCTACAAATATTAGCTAAAAAAGAACTTTTTTCAGGGAGCAACATGGATCCATCAAATTCCTTAGTAATTTACCGAAATGTCATCGAGTATGTTTCAATTCAAAACACATTTATGATGCAGTGATATTTGAGGTGCACTGTCCTAGAAGCATGGGTTTGAAATAAATTTATCTTGAAACACCTAAAATCAGCCTTATTCATTTTTAATTAATTTATTTTGATTTAACAACAATCACTTCCATATGCTTTGAATTTAAATTTTTTCTCCCCCTTCCTCCCCACCCCCATCCCCGAAAAGACACACAGTCACATATAGGATATACATATACATTCCTATTAAACATATTTTCAGATTAGTGATGTTGTAAGTAAAAAAAGAAAACAAAATTAGAACCAATAGGAGGAACCACCAAAAAGAGGAAACAAAACCCAACAGATAAGAAAAAAAATATCAAATACTATGCTTCCATCTGCATTCAAATTCCGTAGTTCTTTCTTTGAATGTGGATAGCATCTATCATGAGGCCTTTGGAGGTCTTAGATCCTTGTGTTGCTGGGAAGGGGTAAGTTTATCAATAGTAGTCATCACACAAAGTGGCTGTTATTGTATACAATATTCTCTTGGCTCTGCTCACTTCACTCAGCTTCAGTCCATACAAGTCTTTCCAGATTTTTTCTGCAGTCATCCTGCTCATCATTTCTTTTTTTTTTGGGGGGGGGGTTAAAAATTATTTATTTTCACTTTTCAACATTCACTTCCATAAGATTTTGAGTTCCAAATTTTCACCCCATCTCATCCCTCCCCCACCATGAGAGGGCATGCATTCTGAATATCCCTTTCACTAGTCTGCCCTCCCTTCCATCTCTACCCCCCTTCTGTTATCCCCTTCGCCTTCTGTTTTCCTGTACGGCAGGATAGATTCCTGTACCCCATTTCCTGTATTTCTTATTTTCCAGTTGCATATGAAAACTTTTTTTAAAATATGTGTTTTTAAAACTTTGGGTTCCACATTTTATACCTTCCTCCCTCCCTCCCTCCCAACCAACCCTCATTGAAAAGGAAAGCAACTCAATATAGGTTATATATATGCAGTTATGCAAAACACTTCCATAGTAGTCAGGTTGTGAAAAACTAACACTATTTCCCTTAACCCTATCTCACTGCCCCCCATTTATTCTATTCTTTCTTTTGATCCTGTCCCTCCTCAGCAGTGTTTGCTTCTGATTACCCCCTTTCCCAATCTGCCCTCCTCTCTATTGTTCCCCTACTCTCTTGTCCCCTTCTCCCCTTATTTTCCTGTAGGGTAAGACTCCTTTCCATACCCAATTGAATGTGTATGTTATTCCCTCCTTAAGCCAAATCCTATAGGAATAAGATTCACTCATTCCCTCTCACCTTCCCCCATTTCCCCTCCACTGTAAAAGCCTTTTCTTTTCGGTTTTTTTGTGAGATAATTTACCCTGTTCTACTTCTCCCTTTCTCCTTCTCCTAGTATAATCCTCTCTCACCCCTTATTTTTATTCTGCAGATATGATCCCTTCATCTTCAACTCACCCTGTGCCATCTATCTATCTATCTATCTATCTATCTATCTATCTATCTATCTATCTATATGTGTATGTGTGTGTGTGTATGTACACACACACACACACACACACACACATATACACAACATATAATTTTTTTCCCCTCCAACTACCCTAATACTGACAAAGGTGTCAACATGAGTTATAAATATCATCTTTCCATGGAGGAATGTAAACAGTTCAACTCTAATAAGTCTCTTATGATTTCTCTTTCCTGTTTACCTCTTCATGTTCCACTTGAGTCTTGTATTTGAAAGTTAAATTTTCTGTTTGGTTCTATCCTTTTCATCAAGAATGCTTGAAAGTCCTCTGTTTAACTGAATGACCATTTTTTCCCCTGAAGGATTATACTCAGTTTTGCTGGGTAAGTGATTCTTGGTTGCACTCCTATCTCTTTTGCCCTCTGGCATATTATGTTCCATGCCCTGCGGTCCCTTAATGTAGAAGCTGGTAAATCTTGTGTTATCCTAATTGTGTTTCCACAATGCTTGAATTGTTTCTTACTGGCTGTTTGTAATATTTTCTCCTTGATCTGGGAACTCTGGAATTTGGCTACAATGTTCCTAGGAGTTTTCTTTAGGGATCTCTTTCAGGAGGTGATTGGTGGATTCCTTGAATTTCTATTTTGCCTCTGGTTCTAAAATATCAGGGCAGTTTTCTTTGATATTTCTTGAAACATGATGTCTGGACTCTTTTTTTGATAATGGCTTTCAGATAGTACAATAATTTTTAAATTCTCTCTCCTGGATCTATTTTCCAGGTCAGTTGCTTTTCCAATGAGATATTTCACATTGTTTTCTAATTTTTCATTCATTTGGATTTGTTTTACAGTGTCCTGATTTCTCATAAAATCTCTAGCTTCCAATTGCTCTATTCTAATTTTTAAGGGAGTATTTTCTTCAACAAGCTTTTGGACTTCCTTTTCCATTTGGCCAATTTTGCTTTTTAGGGCATTCTTCTCCTCATTGGCTTTTTGGACCTCTTTTGCCATTTGGGTTAGGCTATTTTTAAGGTGTTTTTTTCTTCAGTATTTTTTTGGGTCTCCTTTAACATCACTCTCAGTTTTTCCTCTACTTCTCTTACTTGCTTCTCAAAATCCTTTTTGAGCTCTTCCATGGCCTGGGACCAATTCAAATTTTTCTTGGAGGCTTTGGATGTAGGAGCTTTGGCTTTGTTATCTTCTACTGATTGTTTATTTTGATCTTCTTTGTCAGCAAAGTAAGATAATATAGTCTGACTCTTTTTGTGCTGCTTACCGATGATCATGGCCAATTACTTGAGTTATAAACTTTTTGTTAAGTTAGGAATCTGTCTCCAGTGTGGAAAATGTACTGTCCCCACCTTCAGGGGTTTTGTGCAGCTGTTTTCAGAGATACTTCTAGGGACCTATAAATTTTCAGTTCTTCCAAGGTGCTGTTATCAAGGGTGAGGTGTTCACTATTTTCCTAGCCTGTTCTCTGGTCTGTGAGTGACCACAAGCACTCTTTTCTCCCTTGGAACTGTGAGGAATATTTCCTCTTTACAGCCACTACAAGCTCCACCAGGCCAGTGCTTCTCCTTGCCCCAGGGCCACCACCCAGAATTGTGACCCAGATTCAAGCGTGGGGAAAGCAAGAGAATCCTGCACCAGCAGAGAGATCCCTGCAATCCCCCTCTGATCAGCCACTTGATTCCCCCTCTGTCTGTGGGCCAGAAGCTCAGTAGGCAGCCACAGCCCCGGTGACACAATAGGGAATGGAGCTGAGAACACATGCTCCTCTCTCACCACCACAGAAACAGACTTTTTTGGCTGACCTTTTAATTGTCCTTGGCGTTTGTGAGTTGAGAAGTCTGGAAACTGCCACAGCTGCCGGCGATTCAGTCCTGAGGTCTGCTCCAAGTTCAATGTGGCCTGAGCACCCATGCCAAACTGCACTCTTCTACCAGCACGGCACAATATACCTTTCTGATCAACCATCCAGGTTGTCTTGGGCTGGAAATTTGTTTCAGTCTGTCTTTTTGCTTTAGAATTTCTTTAGAGCCATTATTTATAGGTATTTGGGGGGGGGATTGGGGGAGAGCTCAAGCAAGTCACTGCTTTCATTCCACCATTTTGGCTCTGCCCCCAAGTGAAAGTCTTTCCAGATTTTTCTGAAGCCATCCTTCTCATCTTTTCTTATAGCACAATAGCATTCCATTACATTCATATAGCACAACTTGCTCAGCCATTCCCCAATTTATGGTCATCCTCTCAATTTCCAATTCTTTGCC